CGTTTGCTAAATAAAAAAAAAAAAATTGCAAAGATGTAGCAAGTTTTTTTATTTTTTTTAATATAATAGTTCATTTTATAAAAAAAAAAAAATGCCAAGGATTAAAAAAAATTAAATACATAATGAATCTCCTGTGTATTGTCCATGACGATTTTCAAGCCATAGCTCAGTGCAAACCAAGCGCAGTCGTTTGCTAAATTTTATTTATAAAAAATTGCAAAGATGTAGCAAGTTTTTAATTTTTTTTTTTAATATAATAGTTCATTTAAAAAAAAAAAAAAAAAAAAAAAAATTATTAAAAAAATGAAATAAATAATGAATCTCCTGTATATTGTCCATGACGTTTTCAAGCCATAGCTCAGTGCAAACCAAGCGCAGTCGTTTGCTAAATAAAAAATAAAAAATTGCAAAGATGTAGCAAGTTTTTAATTTTTTTTTAAATATAATAGTTCATTTAAAAAAAAAAAAAAAAAAAAGAAAAAAAAAATGGATTAAAAAAAATTTTAAATAATGAATCTCCTGTATATTGTCCATGACGTTTTTTTTTTTTTTATAGCTTTTTTTAAAAAAAAAAAAAAAAAAAAAAGGTTTTAAATTAAATAAATAATCATTTGCCAAATAAAAAAAAAAAAAATTGCAAAGATGTAGCAAGTTTTTTAATTTTTTTTATATATAACAGTTAATTTAATTTTTTAAAAAAAAAAAAAAAAAAGTGGATTAAAAAAATAAATAAATAATGAATCTCCTGTTTATTGTTCATGACGTTTTCAAAATCTAAAACCATAGCTCGGTGCAAACCAAGTGCAGACGTTTGACAAATAAAAGAAAAAAAATTGCAAAGATGTAGCAAGTTTTTTAAATTTTTTTTTATTATAATAGTTTATTTTATTTAAAAAAAAAAAAAAAGTGTATTAAAAAAAAATTAAATACATAATGAATCTCCTGTATATTGTTCATGATGTTTTTGAGCCATAGCTCGGTGCAAACCAAGCGCAGTCGTTTGCCAAATAAAAAAAAAAAAAATTGCAAAGATGTAGCAAGTTTTTAAATTTTTTTTATTATAATAGTTCATTTTATTAAAAAAAAAAAAAAAAACGGTGGATTAAAAAAAATAAATAAATAATGAATCTCCCGGATATTGTTCATGATGTTTTTAAGCCATAGCTCGGTGCAAACCAAGTGCAGTCATTTGCAAAAAAAAAAAAAAAATTTGCAAAGATTTTTACATTTTTTTTTATTATAATAGTTCATTTTATAAAAAAAAAAAAAAAAAAAAGGTGGATTAAAAAAAATAAATAAATAATGAATCTCCTGTATATTGTTCATGACATTTTCGAGCCATAGCTCGGTGCAAACCAAGCGCAGTCGTTTGCAAAAAAAAAAAAAAAAAAATTTGCAAAGATGTAGCAAGTTTTTTTATTTTTTATTATTATAATAGTTCATTTTATAAAAAAAAAAAAAAAAGTGGATAAAAAAAATTAAATACATAATGAATCTGCTGTATATTGTTCATAACATTTTTGAGCCATAGCAAACCAAGCGCAGTTATTTCCCAAATAAAAAAAAATAAAAAATTTGCAAAGATGTAGCAAAATTTACATTTTTTTTTTTTATTATAATAGTTCATTTTATAAAAAAAAAAAAAAGAAGGTGGATTAAAAAAATAAATAAATAATGACTCTCCTGTTTATTGTTTGTGACGTTTTGGGCATTTCGCGGGATATTATTGTTATATGCAGCTATACCCACATGGCAGAAAAATACATTTTAATAAATATATTTTAAAAAGACATTCTTAATATATTCTTCCCACATAATATTGACATGTATTTCAAATATTACAATTTTGACCGTATTCAATAGATTTCAAAAATATATTTCAATATTAAACATATATTCAGAACGCATGCATTGCCATTATGAGGAGTTCCCACCATCCCTGTGCCGAGTTCCCGGGTCTGTACGCCCGCTGTGCCCATTATGAGGGGTTCCCACCATCCCTGTGCCGAGTTCCCGGGTCTGTACGCCCGCTGTGCCCATTATGAGGGGTTCCCACCATCCCTGTGCCGAGTTCCCGGGTCTGTACGCCCGCTGTGCCCATTATGAGGGGTTCCCATCATCCCTGTGCCGAGTTCCGGGGTCTGTACGCCCGCTGTGCCCTTTATGAGGAGTTCCCACCCATCCCTGTGCTGAGTTCCTGGGTCTGTACACCCGCTGTGCCCATTATGAGGGGTTCCCACCATCCCTGTGCTGAGTTCCCGGGTCTGTACACCCGCTGTGCCCATTATGAGGGGTTCCCGTCGTCCCTGTGCCAAGCTCCTGGGTCTGTACACCTGCTGTGCCCATTATGAGGGGTCCCCACCATCCCTGTGCTGAGTTCCCGGGTCTGTACCCCGCTGTGCCCATTATGAGGGGTTCCCACCATCCCCGTGTCGAGTTCCTGGGTCTGTACACCCACCATGCCCATTATGAGGGGTTCCCACCATCCCTGTGTCGAGTT